ACTCAATCTACTTTTATTTTTGTAAAGTTTATTCAAACTCTAAAACTTACTTTATAGTATATTTTTAGTACTTTAATAATCTCTATTCTTTTTTCAAACTTCTAATCCAGATCGTCTAGTTTATATACTTTTTTGCTTCAAGTTTAATGATAGTTTAGTTGATTTAGTTAAATTTATTTCAGGCGATAAGCGATTATACTCCTCTGGGACTAGTAATTTATTAAATTACCTCGGGACCGATTGGGACCGATTAACATAATATAAAAATTCTCTTTATAAGCACAACTAAAATAAACCAACTATATATTATAAAACATATAGAAAAAAATCTCTATATAAGCACAATTCTCTATAAGCACATTCTTAAAAAGTTACTATCGCTACGTATGATCCCGACAGTGTGATTATAAAGAGGTTAAACTATACTAAGATTGTAAATCTTTCTATATAATAAATAAATAGTAAATATAATCGCACAGATCTACAAATACTTGGGTTTTAGATTAGATATCGAACAAATTATACCAAAGATCATTAAATTTTATTGCGGTGTAAACTTAGAAATTGGTTTATTAGTAAAAATATTATATACAAGGTTTAGAGAATTTATTTCTAATCTTAAATATTTGATATTTAACTTAATTTCACTTCGTTTTGCTTTATTTTTAAAAAATTTATTTTTTCGGAGATTTTCGTAAGTGATCTGCGGATCAACGGTCAATCAGATGGATTTTAATCATTTTAATCGGGCAGAAGATTAGATATAAACAAGATTTTATGCCCGTTAATATCATTGAAAAATGCATTCGTTTACCAACGTAGCTCGGTCTTTTTCAGAGTCTCGTCTCTTATTAAAGTTTCAAAGGCTTCGTCTTCCAGAAACTTCATATTCTGTTAATGGCCTCTTTCGCCGGGATTTCGCCATTCCACGGGGGAATTTTATTCTTCGCCATTTACATAAAATCGTTTCTCCTAACAACTATAAAGACACTTTCAAAAACATGCATATCAATAAAGATACGCGAGTTATTTGCCAAGGTTTTACTGGGAAACAGGTAAGCACAATTTCAATTACTGTTAGACGTTTTCTATCCACCTTTCTAAATTTCCCTTTAATACATACAATCGTTTTTCGTTAGGGTACGTTCCATTCGCAACAAGCCATTGAATACGGAACCAATTTAGTTGGAGGTGTTTCACCCAAGAAAGGAGGTACAACTCACTTAGGGTTGCCTGTGTTTAACACCGTAGCTGAAGTAAGAATTATGATTTTAAATTATTCTTTGGATTACTGCTAACATTTATTTACTTTTTAGGCAGCTCGCGAATTAAAACCAGATGCATCTGTAGTTTATGTTCCTCCTCCTTTTGCTGCCTCCGCTATTATAGAAGCCATCCAAGCTGAAATTCCATTAGTAGTTACGATTACGGAAGGTATTCCACAGCATGATATGGTTAGGGTATGCGTCAAACAACCGATTTTCATTGAATAAAGATAAAGTTTATATTTGAATTCATGATTACTTTAGGTTGTGAAAGTATTGAAATCTCAAAATAAGACTCGCCTTATAGGGCCGAATTGTCCCGGTATCATTGCGCCAGGTGCTTGTAAAATTGGAATTATGCCTGGTCATATACACCAAGTAGGAAAAGTTGGCATAGTGTCTCGATCCGGAACTCTGACTTATGAGGCAGTTGGCCAAACAACTCAAGTAAACCTTGGACAGTCGTTATGCGTTGGTATTGGTGGAGATCCGTTTAATGGCACTAACTTTATAGATTGTTTGAAATTATTTTTGGATGACGAAAACACGAAAGGTATATCATCAAATATTAAGTGACAAGGTTAATAAAAATGATTATTTATTCTTTTTATTTTGAATTTAAACAGGTATTATATTGATTGGGGAAATTGGTGGTTCAGCTGAAGAGGAGGCGGCAGAATTTCTCAAGGAACATAATTTAACACGAAGCCAGCCAAAACCAGTGGTGTCCTTTATTGCTGGTTTAACTGCACCACCTGGTCGTCGTATGGGTCACGCAGGTGCTATTATAGCCGGTGGAAAGGGTACCGCAGGCGACAAAATTAAAGCTTTAGAGAACGCAGGTGTAGTTGTGTCTAGGAGTCCAGCAAAGTTAGGTATTACTTTGAGAGAGGTAAGTTAGAATATTTTTATTAACCTTTTGTATATTTTATTGAATTTAATTAACATAATCCTGTGTAATAGGAAATGGAAAGGGCGGGCCTAGCCTAATTTATTTTCAATTAAAAAATTTTTATCATAAAAATTTGTATATATTTATTTTTTGAAATATGCAGTATAGTTAGAATATTTTTTTTGTACAACTAACTAATGTTCACCACAAACTCAAATTTGGTAATGATCATCGTAATTGAATAAAGAATAATTTAACTATAACTAGGGGACGTCTAAAGCGGAGGCAACTTATATTTAATAATTTTTTCGATTAATTTAGGGTTAGGGTCTTCTATATTG